TGTTAAAAATATACATGAACAGATTAATAATTCTAAAGCTAGCAAGAACAAAAAGGCAGCAATGTCCGAAATGCAGGTACGTCTTCAATGCTAATTCCCTCCATACACAACAACATCAGCATAAAAAATCTGCATGCAAGGCACAGAAATATAGTATGAGTACAACCGACCTCATGTACTCAATAAGTAACAAACCTAACCTTAGGTTGAAAGTAGTGACGAGCTGAGACAAAGGTCGGAGTCCAACACCAATAGCCAACAACAGTTCATAACAATATAATAAAAAAGATAAAAGAAATAATCAGAGATATGATGCTCAGCTCATTCACAGTTACGAAAAATAGTCATGCTTTTCAGGTATAACAGTAAAACCCAAATCATTCACCGAAATCACCAAAATATGAGTAAGTCATAAACCTTTGATTTTTTTCAAAAAAATAACTTTCAACAACAGATAAGATGATTCAATTTCAGATAGCATGAGGAAAGTACATCTTTATGCCTACATGTCAATGTGCATGTGAAGTCATAAATGTCACAAAATCGTGTAACATGAGGAAATTCATCTATATGCATGCATGTCAAGTATGCATGTCCGATGCAATGTGTCACAGTGATGAACTCGTGTACTCACACTCTTAGAGTACTCAATATCACAATTTCACACTCCCACTCATCATGCTCAATCACTCAGCACACTCAATCACTCAGCATTGTACAGGGCAGATCCAGCCCAGCACCTCTCTAACCAATGTATGACTTAAACCCAATATTAGGATGTCCTAGCTACATGGCTTCACTCGTGTATGGTTGGAGTTAAGTAGCCTTAACACAACCTTTCCCTCCCTACTTCAGGTGGATATTTCAGATTCTGGCACATATCATGAGCATATTGATTTGAAAGACAAGTTTTTTGTATCTCCAGTCCTCTCATATAGGATAAACTATCGGGAATGGCTAAGCTGTCAGAATGATAATAATCTCACAAGTGTTCAACCTCGTGGGCTTGTGGCATAGACTCCTTGTGTTAAATACTGTTAAGAGCGTAATGCAATTTCAAGTATTTTGAAACCCCTATCACATTAATGGTGCAAAAATCTTCTTATTTCGAGTTAAACTGATTTTTCCTACACTCGAGGAGGCGACTGGTGTAACGTACTTGGCTATTTCTCCTTAAGGCTTATTATTGCCGAACAAGGCCCAATGGAATAAAACAATTGTTATTGTCTCTTTATTAACTCATCGTCTTCCAAGAATAACGTATGCTAATGCTTTTATCCTCCCGATCATGCCACCCATGTATCCCATGTCTAAAATGACTCATTTCGTATTAAGATCATGTAAATGGTTCCCACATTTTCAATGCCTACTAGGCAACTCTATACCTCATTTGTCGAATCAATGATGTCATCACAATGATTAGCCACATCAGCGCTATTGGTAGTAACCTTCATATCTCTTAAGATATAACCTCCTGAAATGCACTGCTTAGCACATTGGTCGATTCTTGAATAATTCCAACTCAATCTTGAACCCCGTAATTCCTCTTTGTATTACATCTATGGATGTTGAAGGTTCAAACATGTCAAAGAAAAAGCATCATCTCATGATCAAACATATTGGGTACGAAACTTTATGGTCATATTCATGCTAGCACATCTTAGAATAATTGTTGAAGGTCGCGTAAGGTTTAGTTTGGGTGTTCGACGTAGAGATTTAGAGTTGAAGAAAGTGAACGGGTTATTATCAAGATTTTCTCCATGAATATATTTGATGAATTGTTAAGGAAGGTAAAATAGGTGTAGTTCACATTGGGCCCTATGGAATCTTGAATGAAATGGGTCAACCTATGAGTATGACATCCTCCATCGTTGTTCTCCATGCACATGGTGCTTCATGTGTCTATGTCAAAAAAGGTAGTTGGAAATCCTTTGTCTATCATTCCAGTGGAAGCTATTGAGGGTGAAGTTAATGGATAATTGGCCTATGAGAGGTACCTAATTGTCATCCTTGTTAGATAAATCCGGGAGTTAGGATTACTTCTGTCAAGTGCTATGGCGCAGTCTATTAGTCGAGGAGGTCACCTCAAAGGCCGAGTGTATTGTGGAAAGAGAATATTTTCACTTCTTTGTATATCAAATGATTGTGACTCGAAAGGTATTTTCTATGTGTTATGATTCAAATATGTACAGTTGATGTCAAGATGCAACTTTTATTAATGTAATGTTGGTAGTGTTGAAATTTGTGTTATTGGAATATTGTGATGCTTTGTTAATTTGTGTATATGTTGTTAGGAGTGGTTTAGGTGATTCTCTATCAGGCGGATTGGCCCAATTACAGAGGAGACTCTGCCAAAATCTCTGAAACATTTGAGAGTTAGATAAAATTTGCGGGCTTGAGATGTGTTATGTTAGGTGTTTGGGGCGGACTCTAGTCCTCATTCGAGGATGAATGATCCTAAGCGGGTGAGGATGTAAGGCCCCATAAAATTTTCCCAATGAATTTAAGGTTTCGTGGTTACGAGGTAGGCTAATATTTTTAAAGATTGTAGAAAACGAGCCGCGGTACGGACTTTTTGGGTTGTACAATGCATTGGGGAGTTGGAGGAAAATTGATGTCGAACATGGCATTTCTACGGTCCTTTATGCAACCGCAGAATTACTTCGCGGACCACAGATCCACCGCGGAGTGTAAAAGAAGAGGGCCAAATTCTGAAAACATTTTTTGTAGGCCACATAATGATATTGCTACCACAAAATTGCATCGCGGAATGGACCAGACCCAACCCACAATATGAAAATCATTTTGTGGCGATTCTGTTGACCGCATAACCATTCTGCTTGTCACATATCTATTTTGCTGGCCATAAATGTGTTCTGCTACCATAGAATTGCACCACATAATTGACTTCGGGATCTTTTTTAGAAATTTTCCTACTCGACCCCATTTTGATTAATAGCCTTTGGGGCTCATTTTGAAGCAAATATTTGATATTTTAGAGAGAAGTGAGAGTATCTTAGAGATAGAGGGAGAAGACCTAGCAATTCTAATCATCAATTATTTCCCCAATCTTTAAGATTCAAGTGTAGCTACTCACTAGACCATCATCTACCCGGGTAAGACCTTGTCCTAAAACCTTCATGCAATTATTATGGGTTTAATTAGGTTATGGAACTGGAGATAGACCATGCATGTAACACTTGGTGGTAGTATGTGGTGTTGTTGAACTATTTTGTGTAGTTTCTTGTTGAAATTGGTTGAGGGAGGAAGGGATTACCATTGTAGAGATTTGTAGTTAATTTGGCATAATAGGTGTTTGACAAAATTCCAAAGAGACTTACGTCATGAGAATCCTTCTAATTATTATCCGGTTTTCCCTATCTTCCTATAGATTTATATTGCTAGTGGTGTTGGGACATTGTAGTAACTTAAGGAATCGATAGTAAATGCGCTCACTGTGGGTGTGCAGACTCTAGAGGGGCAGATCCAGCCTAAGCGTTATAATAAGCCAATCATAGCATGAATCAATAAAGCCTAATGCGGCATGCAACTCGATCCCATCATGAATCAATAATACCTGATGCGGCGTGCAGCCCGATCCCATCAATATCTCTCACACTCTGGTTCTTAGGCCTCAACTCAGTCATCAATCTCTCCAGTCTCTCGGGCTCACAAAGTCATGAAAATCAGCCCAAAAATGATGATATGATGTATCAATAAATGGTAACAGAGACTGAGATATGATATGCAAATGAATGAGTATGACTAAGTATGTAATTGCAATGTAAGCAAATAACTCAACAGCAGAAATGACCTCAGTGGGTCCCAACAGGATAAGCATATAGCTTAGACGTGGTCTCTAACATATATCACAACTCAATTACTCTAGCCAAAATCAACTCAAATACATCAATTAATGTCTAAGGAAACAAACCCAATCGATAAAGGTGGAATCTTTAATCAAAAGTCCAAAGTCAACCAAAGCTCTAAATATGTTAAAATGGTTGAAACCCCCAAAAATAGAGTTCTTATAATCACTAGACGAATCAATGAATCGCGATCGCGGAAATACCATCGCGATCGCGAAGGAGAAAATGCACTGCTCCTGAAAATACACTACGCGATTGTAGCAACAGACTCGCGATCGCGATACATAAGGCTGACAGAACCACGCGTTCGCGGAAGCAACCTTGCAAACGCGAAGAGATAACGAGTACTCTACGCATCTCAGCCCCCAAACACTATGCGAACGCGTAGAAGCAGATGCAAATGCGATGAAGACCAGTCCCAACTCTACGCGAACGCAACTATCCAATCGCGAACGCGATGAAGAAAGTGGCCAGGTCCAGATTTCCTATACGCGATCGCATACCATTCTTCGCGATCGCGAAGGACAATCGAGGCATCAGAAACCAGCAGGAACCAGCGATGAAAACATAAAGAAAAATGGTCTGAAATCAATCTGAAACATGTCCGAGTCCCTCGGGATCCTTTACAAACATACTAACAAGTCTTATAACATAACACGGACCTACTCGAGGCAGTGTATATATATATATNTCTGCATATCTTCATAAACTTTGTGGTCAACGCCAAAAGCTATTCTTGAATCTACTGTATAAATATTTTCCTAATAATTGAGCTACCACGGACCTCATTTATTCTAAGTTAAAATTCATGGATAATATTACATGTTAATTACGTTATTAATACTTTAAGAATCCATATGTACGATGACAGCGAGGCCTATCACAAATAAAAAATGAAACCCTTAAGTATATTTATACGTGGCATCATCCTACTGGTCAATCAAAGCCCTCCAAATCAAACACATGGAGAAACATCAAAATCAATTATTATTTTTTAGCTTTTTATTTTTTGCTTCATTCTGTCATACAACTTTAATCCACTTTCATGCAACTACGTGGAAACTCACTTCACACCTTATAACTAAGTGCCCATTCCTTCTTACTCGTCAATTCAACTATATATTCCTCTCCCTCAACCCTCACTTCCATGTCCATAACCTTGTTATCTTAAAAAACACAACCAAGAAGAAAAAAAAAGAGTAACCTTGCTAGGAAAATGGAAGATCATCAAGAAAGTAGCAATATTCAAATGTATAGAGGAGTAAGGAAGAGAAAATGGGGGAAATGGGTGTCTGAGATACGTGAACCGGGGAAGAAAACACGAATATGGCTAGGGAGTTATGAGACACCGGAGATGGCTGCAGCAGCCTATGATGTTGCTGCATTTCATCTAAAAGGCGAGAGAGCAAGACTGAATTTCCCCGAATTAATCGATAGTTTTCCAAAACCCTCAAGTTCTAAGCCTGAAGATGTGCAAATGGCAGCTCATGAAGCAGCAATGAGGTTCAAAATTAGGAAAACTCCGGAGCCACCCGAGAGCGGTGGCTGTGGCGGTGGTGGCACGGTGGTCCCGGTGAGGGTAGGTCTATCGTCGAGTCAAATTCAGGCGATTAATGAGTCGCCATTGGACTCACCTAAAATGTGGATGGAGCTAACGGGGGCTTTGTTATTACGAGATCCTGTTAGAGAATACACTTGTCCCTCCTATTCTTTTACCGATCCTATGGTTTTGTGTGAAGACATTGCTGAGTTTGGGGAGTGGGATGAAGTGCAACAGCATCATGATTCCCTTTGGAATTTTTAGGTTGAAAAAAGTTCCATATGGCCCCTTTTAGTATTTATATTTTAGCAAAGATTATTAGGGGCCAATTTAAGAAGAAGAAGAAAAGAGAACAAAAGCTTATGCTATTCTTCTTTTAGGATGTTGGATGGTTTAAACTTTTGTGGCTCTCTTATTTATTTTTTATTTTTCCCCTAGAGATTCTTTTGGAGAATATTTGTTATATTGTAATCTTGGGAAGTCCATGAAGATTTACTAAATCAATAGAAAGAAGATAATGGTGGAGCCTTGAATTAATTTGACTTTGCTTTTCTATAGCCTTCATTTCTTTCCATTATAAATTTTTTGGTGGGCCAAAGAATCTTCGTATTTTAGAGTTTATTGCAGACGCAAGATTAGGTTACATTTATGTTGTATGTCACAGAAAATGACATCGAAAAGTATTTTTCACTTGACAAAATTGTAGTGTGAATCTTCTAAAACTGATTCGCAAACTAACACTTCAAAGTTTCATCTTTCCCATTTGTTTTTTTGTGGTAAGAATAACACACATTCTATATGCACCAATCTTTCATTTTGTAAAAGAAGCTCTTTGGATATTACTAATTATTTTCACTGAATTCTGGGTCTGGGCTCTCAGCAGCAAAGGTGGAGCTAGAGTTTAAACGGTTCTAAAATAATAATTTATACATATTCTTAAGATAAACATAGGATTTGAACCAAAATTATTTAATTTGACCGAACCCGTAACTTCTATGCTTAGCGGTCCCTACTTCCACGTTTATTCTTATGAACAAAATACATAATTTACTTATCAACCTTGTAGCGAAATCCCGGTTACACACCTCTCCTTCACGGAAAACCTTTTACACACTCACCTTTTCAAAAGTGTGTCTAAGACACACTACTTTTGACTAGATACCACTTGCGTGTTTACACACATAAAAAAGCGCGTGAAGCCCGTAAAAAATTTTACTTTTTGTCTCCCTTCTCCAGAAGAACCCCTCCCCCTCCCTCTGGTCTTCTTCCTCAGACCACCCTCCCCATCTTCTTTCCCAAATAGAATTTTTAAAAGAACATAAAATTTTAGATCTAAAATTGAGCGATTTTTGTTGGTTTATTGTCTAAATATTGTGAAAACCATTTATTTGTGATAGATTTAAAGCTTTAACAATAGTATTGAAGGTTTAGTAAAAAAAAATCTAGAATTCATCATTGTTGGAGTATTGAAAAAAGGTTGTAAATTCAATTGAGTCTTGTTGATTATTGGGTTGTTGAACTCAATTTATTGCTCGATTATTTTCGGCTAGTTGTTTAGATAGTGTGGTTGAATTTTGGTGTTGTTGGAAACTTTCTCACAAACAACTATGGTGGCAGCAACAATGGTACTTAAGATAGAAAATGGGAAGATGAAGAAGATACACGTTATTTGAAAAATTAATCAAGCACAAAAGTAGTTCTGAAAGTGTGAGTGTGTAAAAGGTTTGTCATGCAACTACTTGCCCTGGCCTGGCCCGGACTTATTAGAAACGGAACATTTCATGAAATGCAACAGAAGTCGTAGAGATATTAAAAGTATGACTAATTAGACTACTCAAAACTAGCATTGTCCCTCTTGAGCAGTGCTTCTTTCACAATATAAGAAAGACTTGAATTAGCTTGGGAGACAATATATAGTAACAAGAGTAATAGTAAAACAAGTGAAGATTAATATGAAAGATTCATCCAAAAAATGAGCTAGCTAGTACTATTTTTGACTCAAATATCTGTTGCTACAAACTTTCAAACACGATCTCTATTGTTCAGATCATGGAATAGATGGATCTTAGGAATTCCCATATAGCTCGACTCGATGATTAACAAATTGGAAAACTCAATTAGAAGGAGACTGGTTGAATGAATTTCCCACGACAATTCTCTATTCTTTCTTGATATGATTAGCCGCCCCTCTCTCTTGTTTTCAATACTAAATCACACCAGACCTAAAGCTTGATCTTTAAAGTTATTCAAAATATAAGCGGGTCATAATTTTATGCAAAAGAACTTGTTCATCTACATAAAAAAGTGACAATCTCACAAACCCAACGCTGTAGAAATGTGGTATTCTTGGGAAGTTTATAATTCGATTCTGTGTCTTCAAAATTTTATGCTAGACCGTTGTTTTGTACGGGGTGGTAGATTTTTCACAATTAGACTGGTCTATTAAATGATGGACAACTTATTAGAGCATCTATCTTCGATAATTATTGAGTTTCAACCTCAGCTAGAAAGGACTGGACTTAGGATCAGTGTTTTAGATATAAAGTGCAAGCTGTACCCAATAATGACATGATTAGATAAAAGTAAACAAAAGCCAACATCTTCATTATGTGGAAAGCTAACCTCCATGTTTTTTCACATAACTTGGCCATAACATAAACATTGATTTTATTGTAAGATTATTGCAAAAACTTACACGGGAATGGAATGTCTGATTAAGTGGTAATGTTTTGACTCAAAATGGAATGAATGTCATCACTTGTTATTTTCATCAAGATAATTTTTTTGGGTCAAAAAAATTAATGCGAGAATGGTTAGATTTGTTAAAGATCAGAAATAAATAATTGGGGAGTGAGATTGATATAAGGATTTCTCATGCCCAAGCTCATAGCACTTATTGTCCGCTTTAGTTCAATAAAGCTCACAGATTTGTCCCTTGGATTATGTCATCATCAGGCTCAAAAACGTGCGCGTCATTTTAACGGATGTTATACCTTATAAAGGTATTAACTTTCATTTCTTATTCAAAATGTGTGATTCGCCTAAGTGTCATGTGACCCCTTCTTCAGAAATCTGTTGGCGTAGAAGCTCGTCAATTATTTCCTTTGATGCGTTCTCGTCAGCCCCCTCCGTCATTGACATTACATCTGAATTCTTTCTCCTTTGGTTGAAAGTCTCAAATTTATTTTTCAATGATAAATAGCACAATTTATTTTTGCACATAGACTAAAATTAAAAGAATTCAACTCAATGCTATCGAAAGAGATTTACCATGTGTGGCTAGGTAATCGGTTGAGCTTGAAACCAGTCCTCGTTTCTGTCTTTCACCAAGAGCAGACCAGACTCTTTCTAAAATGACCAAAAGAATATGCAGCTAAACAATAATTAAGTCGCCAAATTGTTACAACATTAGAGGAAAGGATTATATATATATATANTAAATAAACTTTTCCAATGTTGCTCAAACAAATCAAAATGCCTGAACCAATCAGCTGACTCTAAAATCCAAATCGGTATGCCAAGTCAGCAAAAATGATAATGTGGCTATGCCATGTCAGTCCTAAAATTTTTTGTTAAGGCTACTATCCACTGAACTTATGATTTACTGCAGTAAAATTTATATGTGTAGATAAATTATTTTTTCACCAAATGAAAGTAACTCCCGTTTACTCGATAAAATTTATCCGGTGAACAAAGCATTTTATCGGGTAAAAATTTGTTATACGTTACAACAATTTTCTCATATGATGGCGTGACATAGCTACATAAGTAAAAAAAAAAACAAAAGTTATTGGGTAGGTTTTATCAGGTAACTAATTGGATAAACAAAACTCAATTGATTTTGTGTTGCATGACAAATTCTTTTTAGTTTTATGTCATATCTCCTCAAAAGATGTTTAGTTTTATGTATAAGAGATCTGAAAATTAAATACAATAGATTTTTGTATGGTCATTTTTTTTCTATTTAAATTGTACATGATTATATTGAACCATTTCCTTGGTAAATGAACAATATGATCATTTGATAGCGCGACATACATAGCCACACGGGCAAGAAAATAGGATAATATAATCGCATAAGTTCTACCGAGTATCTCAACAAATGATATAAGAAACATTGTCTAAAAGTGTAAGGAAAAAACGTGTGAAATTTTTATACAAAAATTTTGTAAAAATTGTTGAAATACCACTTATCCCATAAAACGTACCCGATAATATTTTCAATTTTTTTATTTTTTTTTTGCTTCTGGGGCTATGCCACGTCAACATATAAGAAATGCTGTTGTAAAAAGTTTTACATGATACTATTTATCCATTAAAATTAGACAATATTTCTTCATTAGATAAATTTTCTCGAATAAATTAATTTTTCGAATTTTATGACTTTATAAATGGTAAAAAATAATTGTGCAATATTTTAAAAACAATTATAAAAATTTAGCAATATCACTTAATTAACATTCCTGCTGCAATATATTTCCATGCTATAACGGAACCCCTACCTAAAAGGAGCCAATAAAAATCCAAGAAGATATCTTCCTACGTTTTGGCTAAAAAAAATCAGAGTTTTGGTAATACATAATGTAAAATATTACAGCTATTACCAAATTTAATACACCTAAATTAGAGCCCCCAGGATTATATTACAACCACCTTGTAGGAAGCAGTAAAATCTTCTAGGCCTTAGGAACCAAAAACACATAAACTAGTTACATGCATGTTCTGGAAAATAAATATTGACATCTATAAGCTCTTCTTGTATTTGTATACTTTCTAGCCCAATTCTAGGCACCTTTTAATTTGTATGTGTGCAATAGCAAACTTTGTATTTATATTTATATTGACATGATTTCTGAAAATTGTCCAAGCTTGCTATATTTGATAGATCATTGCTTCCCCAAACGGGTTAATTTCGCTGATGGTCATTGAACTATTTTTCAATTTCACTAAAGTCATTCAACTATTTTTTTGTCATTTAAAAGTAACTAAATTTTATCATTGTCACTTAAAAATTATTTTGCCTCAAACCCCTACCATAAATATGACATGGCATAAAATTTAATAAGAAAAATCCAAAAATAAATGCCACATAAGCTTAAATGGGTCATATCCACTTTAGATCCATGTCTCCCTTAATATAATTTGATCCAAAACCCAAATGGATTTAATAAAAAAAATATTAAATTACACATTAGTTTAAAATGATTATCCTATACTACAAAGTTTTTGCCTTTTTTGTTACATAATGTACATTCATAATTATTCTATACTAAAAATAATCTATGCTAGAAAATTCTTATTTTGTTTGTATGCCATATCCGAGTTAATTTCAAAAAAGGCAAAAACTTTGTAGTATAGGATAATCATTTTAAACTAATGTGAAATTTAATATTTTTTTTTATTAAACCCATTTGGGTTTTGGATCAAATCATATTAAGGGGGACATGGATCTAAAGTGGATATGGCCCATTTAAGCTTATGTGGTATTTATTTTTAGATTTTTCTTATTAAATTTTATGTCATGTCATATTTATGGT